ATGAATATTTTGTTGATTTGATGGAATAATGATCATTTTGATAAGAATATATTTTTGAAACAACATACAAGTTTTCTTGAATCATTTGCTTCAATAGAGCAACGAAATATATAATACCATTGAAATATTTCGTTCATTCAACATCAATTCAAATGTTTGCCACTAGATAGTGATATTTTCAGCCAAACAATTTGTCGAATGGAAATACAGTTTATCTTGAATCAACGAAATATTTCATTCGATCAACAAATTATTTCATTGAATCAACCAAATGTATCAATGCTTCAACCAAATAATTCATGCAATCAACCAAATAATTCATGCAATCAACCAAATATTCCACTGAATCAACTAAATATTTTATTGAATCAACGAAATATTTGATTGAATCAATATCTTGTCATTTTGAATCAAACAAAATGATCGTTTGAGCCAATGCAATATCTCTTCATGAACAATTCATGGATGTGCTTGATTGAATAAGATCCAGAGTTCATGCAAGACATATTCACTTGATTCAAACTCATAATTCGCTCTGAAACAAGATATAGATTTACCAATTTCAAGATTATATTTTGTCGTGCATAATATGACACTTATATTTGCTCCATTCAATTCAATTCTGCTTGATTCAACAATTCCTTTTCTCCGTGTAGTACTTTGTTTCGATTTTAAATAGGAGAGATATATTGTCACCGCTTCCAATTCTTGAGTTGATTCTATAGTTATAGTAACATCATGCTGTCAAGACGAAATCTATTAATCTTTCATACTGAGTATAAGTATATGAGTTACATTCGGTTATATTTCAGATTCTGATCAGTGATTGATGTAGCTGATACTACGAAATCTACTCGGAAGTCTATTAATCTTTTATATTGATTGTGGGTTAAATTTCAGATTCTGATGAGTGATCCATGTAGCTGATAAGTAAAATTAGTAAATATAGCATAGACAGTAATCTTTGAATATAGTGAATATCAAACAAATGATGAGAAGGAGAATATATTCACAGAAGGGGATGGATCTTGTCATCAATAAACGATATTTTTGTGACCCTGCAATGATATTTTGGAGTGCCCCTCTGGATACCATAACAATTCTCCTCATCTTTTGCTCTTTCATTAGTGATATTGGTCCAGAGTCCAAGAGTCACCCATCAGAGGGAGGCTTTTTTGCGATACAAAAGGAATTGTAGAAGTAGAAACGGGATGTCTGGCTTCATACCGAACCCTTAAAAATCCAATCATGATCGATCGACGCATCTTTCAGAGCAAGAAGAATCACGTTGGCCTTATTTGACTCTTTTCAAATAGCGAATAATAGTGATTGTGCATTGCCTTGCAAATCAGCAGTCGAGAGAAAGATGTTGTCAATAAGAAACGATGTCTTCACTGACCAAAATAATTCTTGATGAGAGAACTATGAATCAAATAGGTACTCTTTTTTATCTTTTTGAATTTTTTTCACTTGATAATTTTTTTCTAGAAAATTGATCACAAAGGGAACTTTCTCGATATAACAATGAGCAATAAGACATGAATTTTTTCCGGATCTGGATTTTTATTTCATGATATGTTATCTTTTATAGTTTCAGTAGAAAAGTGTCGCTGCTAAATTTCGGCGAATTACGATGAATCAGTTCTGAAATATTCGCCATCAAAGATACATGACAATTTCGATTCCAATTCTTCGTTATTGATGGCATACAATGTTTTTCATATAATATATCTACTCGTCTTGATTTCCCCTACTCACCATTTGGTAATGTGAATCTCCTCATGAATCACCTTGTATACCCAGGACTTTTTCATTTCGTCCAATATAGGTCATTCTGAGACGTCATCATAGGCCCTCTCAGACGTTATTTTAGGTTAGGGACATCTTCTTCGTCATTCCAAGACTAAAAATAACGTTAATTACACGTCACTTAGCTATCTGCGTTCCTTTACTCTTTCTGGTTCATCCATCTTTGGTCAAACTTTTGTACACCTTGGTTTGTTTCAGATCATTTTATATGTTTATTGTAGTTCGATTCATCATCAAATCGAATCACAAGATGATTTTTCTCCAGTCATTTAAGGAAGAAAGGGGCCAACCTCATTTTGATGTTCTAATTAAGGTTGTCTCAAAAGTCTCACAAAATCACGTATCTGCGACAAAGGTCACAAAGTTTGGATTTTTGCGATTATCCAGGTGAACTACTATATGAAAATATAGAGCATGGAATTCGCGATAAATTTCATCCCTTTAATTTTTTTATACGCTCTGTGAATCTCGATGAATAATGCCCTGTATAAAGCTATCAAATCATCAGCATATATCATTGAAAATTAAGAAGTTGTATTATTTATCAATTGATGTACTGTTTCAATAACATTTTACATATTTCTAAGAAATCCCTTTTTGTTTGTGCGAAGTCTGCCAAGTCCAAAAGAACAATACATATAGCAATAATCAATGAAATAGTAGATGAATGACTAACTTCACAGCTTTATTTATACCGGTGAGTGGAAATGTAAAAAACTAACCACATTGATAAATGTTGTTTTTATAGAATACCAGATATGAATAGCGGAAATATTTATTTTCAAATATCGAAGTTATTCAGAAGAAAAATAAATTTCTGTGAACTCCACATCTGACTGGTTGAAAATCATGTTGGTGCATCTGTGTTACGTAAATACTTGAATATTAAAACTTTCAATCGTGTCAGTAGTGTCACGAGTAATAAATGATACATCAATAAATCACAAACAGTTTCGAATCACGTAAACTGGATCTGAGGGTTCCAAAGTTATCTGATCTGGGGCTATTCTCAACTCGTCGTAATAGTTATCAACATAACATTGTTATTTGGCCATCACATTTTATTGTTCTTCATTTCAGGAAAAGGTTGAAACTTCATTATTTAATTCGTACGAAGTCATGTCTGAATTTCTACTGTAACGATTCAACTTCTTTACCATAGATTGATAAATATAATTAATAGTGTTGTTCATGAATGAAATGATCTATAATAATAACAAGTAATAAAATTGACGGCGATATGAAATATTTCAGAATGAAAGCAGGTGCATCAACATAGTTTTGATCTAGAAACTGGAGTTCACAAAAATTAATTTTTCTTCTCAATAACTTCTAGTAGTGAGCTAAGTAGACTCGTACAATTAAAATAAAGCCATTTCAGTAATGAAACTTCCAATACTTCTATTATGTTGCTCCTACATTGGTGATAGTACTTATATTATTCAAGAAGCCCATAATGATGATTACCCACGAAGATGAAAGTTGCAGTACGAATAACCGAAGGGAAATAATGAAGGTTATTATATTACAAAATCACTAAATCTGATTTGAAATATTCATTCATTTCATCAGAAACTTATTGACAGAAATTTCAATCAACGAACAGCTTATAACTTATTTCAATAATTTTGATTGTGGAAATATGATGAAAAATGTTGGATCTTACTTTTATTAACAGGAAAAATGTCGTGCAATCACATATATGCCATTTCACTTCTCAGTTGTAAAATTAATCATACTATTGCAGATAATTCATTAACTTGTTTCCGCTGTAGCATTCCCCCACCGCGATGATGAATTGTAGTACCCTGTCTCTAGACGCTAGTTATCAACAATGAAGTTCCCTGGTTCTGATTGGTCTGTACTAATCTATTTGAATAGCCCGCACATAAGTGTGAGCCAATCTGCAACTGTCAAGTGTCAAGTCCTATTTTATGGTTATGGTTACTCATGATGGTAGTCACTGTTGACGATGAAAAACAGTGAATTCCCATTTTTCCGTGTATTTGTAGAATTAAGGTGACTAAAACTATGAGAACCATGTAAGGTGAGTCTTTTGAATTTGCGTGTATTTCACAAACAATAGTATAGTGGTGTGCTTTAGCAGAACTAGTAGAACGAATACCTACCTAGTTGAATTTGACAAGACGATCGGATGTCAGATTATTACGCCATCCTACTGTCATTATTACTCTTATCCACGATGGAGGGAAGATGGTGTAATCACAGTTAGTGTTTTGTTTCAACCGAATCGCTTTACGTAAGAGTTACTAGTTTTCCTGAAGGGGGCGTCAGCTCCAAGGTTGGTAGAACTGATGATAATACAAATTATCATAAGTTTTACGTGGTTGAAATCACTAGTCTTTCTCCATATATCAGGTTTATCAATCTGTTTTCCTGTTTCTGGAGGTTTCCCAGTATTCTGGGATTCTCGATCGTTGGCAGTCGGCATCAGCAATTCCAGACACAATCACGTACACCATACGCAGACGAAAAAACTATGTACTACTTGAAAATACGCACGAGAAAATGATAAAAACCATTCGCTGGTTACTTCAGACTTTGAAATTTCCATATTTTTTCTTTTTTCATGTCCAACAAATATTTATATCGAAATGATGAATTTGTCACGCGATAGACGTCAAAGTGTCATAACAATAAAACATAACCACAAAATTCACAATCTTGACAACAATTTCCATGATTTCGATGGCCCTCTACAGGGAAGGACGAACTACTTCCGTTGAACGAATTAAAATCAGTGCCATCAAGAGTGCTGTACGTAAAGCGGTTTGGTTGAATAATAACATAGGGAAAAGCATAGCTGTTTCAACACCATCTTCCCTACATCGTGCTCTTATCACTCGATTCATCACAATAATGTCTGTCATTAAATGTTGAAAGTCGAGTTGACAATGTATGAATGACTCCATAGTTGTAGATGAAAGTTTTCAGGTCAGGAAGTAGGAGCGAAATCCCCCATCTAATGTTGTGATGCGTCTACCATTGTTGTTCATTTCATGAATATGAAAGATATGTCTGGATATGACTTCGAGTAATCATTTTTCATCAGCAATACATTCCACTGTGAGCATTCCGGCTCTTCCGTAGCTGATCTTCACACCTCGCTTTGTTCCAGGACCTCCGCGCGACTGCCGCGTGTCTTCCTGGTCCCCGTGGAGCGCCTGCAGCAAGTCCTGCGGCATCGGCGAGATGCAACGTCGCAGGGAGGTCGCCAAGCACGCGCGCAGAGGCGGCCGCTTGTGTCCCCCATTGGTCGAGACGAAATGGTGCGGGTCGGCGCGGTCGTGCAACAAGGAGTACTTCAATTGGTAATCGGCGTTGTCGGACCGGACGTCCTGTATAATACTCGCGGACGGTAATTATTGGTGACGCTAGCGCGACGAAGAACGCTTCGATTGTCACCCGAGGATCTAATAATTCGATTGAACTCTCTTAGATCACGACTGGATAAAAAGAGAAGCATTGAAATCAACATAAGTGTGAGACGCAGCATTCTCGGTCACGTGATGTCAATGCGATCAAATTGAATTAATTATTGACGTTCAGTTCCTTCACTGTGTCACACTTCTCTTACTTTTTTTACATAAATAATGAGACCATGTGTTGTTCAAAATTGTTGAATTTCTGAGCTCATTTCAAACGTACTGACATGGACGCCATTTGGTGATACGTCGAATAAATGGTGACGCCAGTTTTTATGCTGTTTCGTTATTGGTCAGATAATCTTCCATTCGCACTCATGAAGCATGGTTGTCAAGTCACCAGTTATAATCAAGTTATTGAAAAGGTGGAGCCCTATCGTCGAATAATACTTCATGAAAATAAAATATTTCATTTGACCTAATAACAGGAAGCGATGGTATTATTGTTATTATAGCGTGTTTCACTCACCGATTCACAGCACAGAGCAGTGGAACAGAAATAGAGAGTTGGTGCGACCTTCTTGTCATCAGAAATGTCCGAGTCATTGTTTTCTCGAACAAAAAGTTGAAATATTGAAAGTACATTTGGTTCCTTTGGTCGACATGAAATGGATTCATCTACCTCTTATTGTGGTTCTCCAGTGAGCAAGAAACCAGCAAGAAACATTTTTCCACTCGTGACTCGAATATTTGAGGTTATGTGTCGTACAAGCACAGTTCTGAAAACTCGAACTCTGAGCAGGCATCGAGCAAGTTCCCAAGCCAGTGGAAATCATTTCTCGAGAAAATTCCACTCTTGAAATTCTCAGTGGACCACGGAAGACGCACTCAGTGCCAAAAAATTCAAGCTCGTGCGACGAGTGGAAAACGCTATTAATTTGTGATTTTTTCGAAGAACCGGCGTTTCAACAGTATTATCTTATACTCCATAAAAACATCATGTAAAAATTGGCTGTAGAGACTTGGCAATGCCGTGCTGAATGCTGAGAACTGACAAGACAACGCCCACAGTCCTGTGTTATCACGTTTACCCTATCGAATGACTTCTAGTGTGAATTAATATGATTATTATTAACACAAATTCATCATCTGTAGTAAGACACAACATATGAGACGAACAATTTTGATACCTATTAAAAATTTATGAATTGACAATTAAATAATATTTCTGAAGTTCCCATGCGTGTTTCAACATAATTATGGCTCCTGATGGTTTCGGACTGTTTATATTTTGAACGCGAACAAGCCTTGATGATTTTAGCATCTCCAAATCGACCGAAGATATTCAATCTTTTTCGGAAAATGTGTGAGTTTGTTTTTTATTCTTGTTTTTATTTCATCGTTGTTCGTTGTAAATCGTTGAAGAAATAGGGTAATGGATATCAATACCTCGTTCGATTGCATAAAACAAGTTGTTCGTCTCTCTCTATTTACTTATATATCCGAAACCGACATCAGAAAGCAGTCACGTGGTGGAGCATCAACCAAACAGAACATCAAACGTGAGAGAGAGGCAACGAGCAGTGATCACGTGACCGAAAGGACATGTAATTATTATATATATCTTATACTATACATACAGCCATATGATGAACCTTTCTGTCTCTTATGTTGGTTTCAATGCTCTGCATATACAGTGTGTCGAAAAAAGAGCCGCATCTAGTAGTTTTCATTATCGGATCTTTGCCATCCTGCACGGGGTGTCTCGAAAAATGTGGGCGATTCATCGTGTATACAAAATATGGGATGAAGTCATTCAGAAGCTAATCTTCTGCAAAGTACCGCAAATCAAGTGGTTGTAACTAGAGTACCTATATGTAGTTGACACTGCTGTGTAGGCGATTTTTTGTATATTAGTGACAATCAAACATAACCACAAACGATTTTGAAGCAAATCATATGTTTTGCAAGACAAGGACAAGAATGTTTTTCGCTTAGATAAAGGATCCTCGCATCTTCCTTCCTCCACAAGTTCTGGGAAGAGTGCATCCATATATCTTTCTCTGTCTTCGATTTTTGTATGAGAGTGCATGGCGTCTCCCCGAGTGAGTAAAAGAGTACGATAAATTGATGAGAAAATTATTTCTTCTCGAAATATTGAATGATGAGGCTAAAGGACCTCAATGGAGGTCTATATCAAGTTGGTATGTACATATATACCAACGAAATACATATACTATTCCTATGAAATAAGTCTCTTTTATGTTGGAATATATATACGTTCAGTTGAATATTTTTTCACCACAAAAGTTCAGAATAGGGTTAAAACTGATAAATTTCAACCAATGAAACATACTTTTATTTCGTCGAACAATTTCACTTGTACAAGAGTGGTAGGTAATAAGTGATCAATAAATGGACAAATGATATAGCAACAATAACAGATGATTTTAGTTAGTATAAATAATGAAGGTTCTCCAAAACATACGCAATGGACTTCAGCGCTCGACTCACTATATAAATCGCCGTTGACATTGCTAAAGGGGATTGTTGGTTTGAACCCGGCCATCGGAAGGTCATTTTCAATACCTAACATAAATGGTGCACTCGTTAAGCATTCTTGTTCTGTGTTCTGATAATATCTTTTGGTACCCAAGAAGTGGTTCAAAACCCACTAGGAGCTATATGTAGGTAGTCTCAACTACGCATGAATAACATACATATTCAGACTTGAGATTTCAAAATATGTTCGAAATGAATTTCATTATCTGCAAGTTTTTCATTTCTTATTGGTTCCTAATTGGAATTAGGCTCTTTTCGATACTAGATCATTTTATAAATTGTGAGTTTGGCTCTTTCTCTCAATACTATACTACTACTACTATACTATTCTTCAACATCAAATCTTCCGATCTGAAGAGAAACTGATAAAAATGCGTTGAAAAATGTTCTATATCCTACCAAGAAATTCGAATACCTCGCTAATTTTGTAGCCTGAACCTATATATATTCCATGCCGAATCATATTCTGTTTCCATTTTTGTAGAATTACGTTATCCGATGGAAATTCGGATAGAGTGAATTGTTTTCCCGTGTTCTTACAGTTGGAAACTGCACAATCTTGCATCTTTCTCCTAATTCTCTCAATTTGTCAAACCTTTGAAATTCATGTCATGTACGTCCGTGTGCTGTCAGTTCCGCTTTTTCCATCAATTTATCTGTGGTTATGTTTGATTGTCAGTGCTTGTCAGAGTGTCCGTACGCTAATATAAAAAAAACGTTGAAACAGCAGTGTCAAGTACATTTAGGAACTCTAGTCATAACAAATTGAGCAAACATATTTTTTGTTCCACTATTTTGTCGTTTTCATGTCATTGAAGGGGTGCTGAGAGGATTGTCCACATTTTTTTGCGACACCATGTGTATGTTGGCCAACCACCTTGTATAGTACTAAAGTGTGCACACCCGCGGTTCGTGAAGCTCGCGGACGTGTTGATACTAACCAAAAAGTGACTTAGGTAGGAGGAGTCGCCTGTACACATCAATTTTATAAGTATTTTCAACGATAAGTAGTTTTAAGGGGATTTTTTTCAAAAACAACTCTCAGACTAAGCCAGAATGTCGCTAGTACGTGGACAATGTTGTTATTTCTGATTTAAAAAAGTCATATCTGATAAAAGTTTGTGCATTTCTTGAAACTCTATACAGGGTGAGTCAAGCTGAACGCATCGGGCTATAATAGCCGAACGGTGAACTTTCTGAGATATAATTTTATTCAGGCGAAATTGTGTGGATCTGGACTACATTTTGAAAATAGTGTGAAGAAAAAGGTCTCGAGAAAAGGCGGCATTTCAAAGTTGTTCTTTTTCAAATGGAACACCCCATATTTCATTGCATTTCTGAATTCTACGATGAAAAATGAACTAACTTTCCTGAAGTTTCCCTATACCTAATTCTCTTAGTTTTCGAGATTTTTCTACTTTTAAAAAAAATGTAAGGTATTAATAGAACCTTGATATCATTGAAGCACGATAATGTACCAATTTTCAACAATGTACTTCGAATACTTCGAGCTTAGAGATGGGGCATAAGTGAACGATAAATATTATATTGCCAGGTACTCTCACGGTAACTTCAAACAATAATAACTTGGTTTATTCAAATAGAACACCCAATAAATTCATTTCAAGTAATGCAAAATTCAATTCCCTCCAAAACTATACTATATTTCCCTTAACTATAGTATCATACTTTGCGAGCTATTGCAGTTTTTGTGATATAATCGAGATAAACTATTGAATAACACTCGCTGTGAAGTGTTCAAAATTATCATGATATGACGAGCACCGGCTTCTTGGAATGAAAAACATGAGCGGAGGCAATATTTCATTTTTATAAGGATAATTATTGAGTAACTTGAAACAGGTCACAAAATGTTGATATTCTTGTTTTCGATAAAAAAAATTCCAAGTATACGCAATAGTTTTCCAAATTCCAAATTGAATGACAAGTAATTTCCAATGACAATATACAGGGGATGCCATTTGACAATAAAATGTGGAAGATAGCTGCCAGAAAACTGTAATATATGATGGATTTTTTTTATGTCATTAGGAAAAGAGTTTCTCAAATTTCATCAATCTCTCCTTTAAATTCTCAACATAGTTACCCTTCTTCTTGTAGAAGCTTAATTACTCAGGTTTCAAGAGATGCAAAAACAAAATCTAGAATAAGATTTTCTGAGGATTCGAAAATAATTTTCTTTCCTTCATTTTCAATTGTGTCTCGGTTCAATACTATCTGAATATTTATTGAGTTTGCTTTAGAGAATCTCCTTGTATATATTTCTGGAAGCGTAATCGAGCAAACCATTTTCTAAACATAATTTTATCAATTTGATATTGAGGTCCCCGATTATGTATTAGCTAGGTGGTCAAAAGAATCCCACAATCCTGTAACTTTTTCAGTTATTCAAAATACAGGGCGGAGACTATAACTGGAGAAGTGATTGATTTTTTTGAAAATTGGCAAGACACGTCAACGTTCAAATGTATTTACCTACATTCGGCGAGCAATATGGTGAATATAATATCCCTTCAGGGGTAGCTGGAATCAACCCCAACAAGTTTTTTTCAAATGCAACCCAATGGCTTGCGACCCCTGATTGAAAAGCTTGTTGAAAGAGGAATCAAGCGTACTGATCATATCTCAGTTTGCAGTACGTTTGGGGGTCGCATGAAATCAACATATGATTTCGAAGTTCAATTTATTTCCAACATATTTTCATAAAAAATTTCGACTTGTAGTAACTGTGATATAGGGCATTTTCACCACTTTGAAATCACTTCGTTCCGAACTGTGAATACGACAAAAAAACTGAATTTCTTTTTCTGCAACCGACACAAAAGTCGTCCATTTTGATACCAAAATTAGCTCTTAAATTGACGTTTCTTTTACTGACACAAAAATTAGTATGTTGCTAGGCAACTTATTTAGTTCCTAGGAGCTAAAGTCGAATTTTAGTTCCTAGGAGCTAAAGTTGAACTTTAGCTCCTAGGAACTAAAAAGGATGTACTGGACGTCATCAAG